GGGAGGGGGAGGGGGTGACGGGGCAGACAGGGACACCGCACGGCGATTAACGAACGATGTCCAGATGATGGTTCTCGTTTGGGGAAGTCAACGGGATTGATGAGATGACAACATGACCAGAGTAACGAGTAGGCTGCGTATTTTGCATATTTGCTTTTTCCCTGGAATATAATGATAATCATAAGAAAGACAAAATCATTTCTTGTTGTGTGGATATATTATATAGAAACTTAGAGCTATTTCAGCATATTTGTGACGACTGAACATGTTTTTACTCTAGGTGCATATTTTCACTTATTTAAATATGATTGATACATTTTTTTAAAATGTTCTTTCAAAAAACAACGCCATATTGCTTTCGAGTTACCATTTTAATGTTGAATTACACTGTTCATATCATCAGCCTCATTTTGTAACGTGTCTGCACGTAGCGATCTTCCTGGCAAGAAGTGCGCCGTGCCCTGCGCGGAGCCCCCCCCCCCCCTCCCTGGGTCGCACGAATCGTTTCGTGATCAGAGAAAGGCCATCTCGCCGAGAACTCGGCGACGGGAAGAAGGGGCTCCCCAGGTTCTATCCTCCGAAATGATACTTATGTGTCGTCGCTCCACTAGAAGAATTTTCAAAAATATACAAAAAATAAGGTTTCAAAAGAACGGTTTTCATGTTTATTTAGCCCTTTATTTCCTGGCCATAAATTAAGTAATTTACTCTAAAACTCGGTTTTCTGGAGACTTTTTTAAAATGTGTTTTATTGTAAATATAAAATATTGCACATATATTTTTTCACACAACAAAAATGTCAATTTTTGATGCGTGCCATTTTTTTAGATACTGACAATATGTAGCCAAAGCCGTCAATGATGCCGTGCAACGGATGACACTCGTTCACAGCACCCTAAAGTTAATAATTTGGTTTCTTAAAAGCGTTTGTCAATGTCCCGATGAGAGGTATATTTCAATGAGTAACTACGAAAAGTCTTCTTCTATTAGAATTTCCTTAATTAGTTAGGTGGAGGTCCGGCAGTATCTTTGAGCATTTTTAGTAGCTATGTGTCCCCTGGCCGCGTTACAAGCGCTGCGCTGGGGCTGCCACCTTACTGCATCCGAGCCTGCAGTTACTTTTAGTAATCCCAAGTGAAGAATGATTAGAAGAGATAAGATATAGTAACAGTGGGAGAAGATAAATGACTTCCTAGGCTTTCCAACTCCAATCGTTTCGGGCTCGAAACAAAAAAGAGTTGGTAAAGGAAAACCGATAGGAAAGATATAAGAAGTGTGGCGTACGTAAGTGTAAGTAGTACCACACTTGAATAAAATGCAGTACAGATGACACCGCTTTGTATTTGTGGAGGCTGGGAGAATGTATTGGACAGGTACTGGGAATGAGAGGACGTTGTGAGACAACCTTTCGTCTGGCCCCTCTGTCAAGACCTTTCCGGCATAGGAGACCCTACCGATAGAGTGCTAACCACTCTACCACCAGCAGAGCTCTTAACTTCGACAAAGTGCTCAAACCTCCACGCCCGCACGCAGAAAAACATTAAGAAATAAAACCCGAAGAAACACTCAGTTCAAATTCTATAAAACGCTTGCCGTCCCAATATGGATGCGAACATTAGACGTTAAATACATCATCAAAAAGAAAAATTAAAACTAGCGAAATGAAGTTACTGCGAAGTATTCGTAACTATACTTTACTATATCATAAAATGTGGATATATGACAAGAACTAAATATGTTTAACTTCCTGGAAAGAGTCTAAAAACAGAAACACAATTGGTACAACCATATTGTTACAATAAACGATGCCAGACTCCCTGAACAAATAATATATTATTTACCCTTTGGCAATAGAAGAGTTTGAAGACCAAAGACCCGGTAGATTCATGTTATTGTATATTCATTCAACGTTAAAGAAGACAGAACAGGCCTCCAGGCCTAATACTTGATGTTGAAGACGAAGAAGAAGAAGAAAAAGAAGAAGAAGAAGAAGAAGAAGAAGAAGAAGAAGAAGAAGTTGGTGGATACATGGTTCATTGCTGTATTTTATTACTTGTTGTACTTTGAAAGTAGACGGTAGGTCCCGTACTGAATTGAGATGTGACTTGCGCTACAGCAGCCGGGATGGCTGCAAGGAAGTAGGCATCCAAGTTCAACTGTCGTGTTGACACTTATTTTATCTCCACATGAGATAATCAAACTCCAAAACATGATACCGAGATCACCACTTCAGTCAAATTGAATGATTTGTCAACTTCTTTCAACAGTTTTCTAGGACCAGTAGAGCGATTTATAACAGAAAAAATAAAATTGAAAAAGAAAATGCATGTTTGGGGACTAAAAAAATAGAGATCCAGTTTCACGTGAATTACATAATATTATACAGCAGAAGTCCCCAAATTTTTTACGAAGTACATTTTCTGCGTATAATAATTATATTGCCAATTTCAGATATAGAATTATGAGAAATCACAAAATAAGTATAGTAAATTGTTGTGTTAGAAATTAAATATATTATTTATTTTTCAAGATGTAAACGTAGGTTATTTAATTAAAATTAAAAATATAATTTATTCGGTGCGTACTTTTTGTTTTAAGTGCCTATTTTCCTAATTTTTAAGCATATTTTCGTGGCTTTTAGTGCATAAAAACAATTCTCACCTCGTTAACCAGGCTCAGGAAGTTGGAACATCGAGACTGGAGGAGGTAATTAAGACAAGAGAGACAGAAGTGGCAACGGTGACATGTGAGACAAGGGTGACAACTGAAACAAGAGTGACATGTTTGGTGGTTACGACGTGGAGGCAAATCAGGAGCTGAAGGATGGAGAGCTAGGATGTGAACGAGCGACAAGAATGGAGGGGGTAACGTTCTGATGCGGTCATCAGCAGCGGCTTAACTGAGGGTCACAATAGTAAAACAGGTGTTCAAGTTATCGGAGACGGTGGA